GATGTTACCTTTGCCATCTGGACTTTCCCATCCGGCTAAATCAACGAATGCAAGCTTTGACAATCCATTATCATCTTCCAACCACACATTTACTAGCAGGTGAGATCTTGATGACGTTGAATTCTGGTTCGTTGGTTTTTGCACCCGTAGTTTCAACATTTTTGACAATAACGAATTAAATTCACTTCTTGAAACAATCACTTTTTTTTCTTGTTGTTCAATCCGATTGATTCTGACTTTTGTTCCATTGGTTATATCGTACAAATGGCTACCAATTATTTCAACAAATGAAACATGAATTCTTTTTGAAGTTAAAATAAAGCCAATTGATCGACTGAGCAATCCATTTTCGTTTCTGGCGCCAAACATTGTAAACGATTTGCCACTTCCTGCCAAGTTCAAATAGTAATTAATTATTATTGTTATTTATTTCTTTATGGGACATTTACCTGTTGTGCCATGATTGAAAATACAAACTTTTTGTCCGGCAATGAAATAATTTAAAAATGGTTTCAAATCATGGAATTTTTGTTCACTTTGATCCCCGTGGTATATTTTTTCGAAATACAACCAGCTTGAACGGTTTGTGCAATCTGTTTAATTATTGATATAAAATAGTTAATTCAAAATGAAAACTGTTTTTTTTATGCATGTCTCAGTCAGTGACTAACCGTTAAATTGAACAGAATTTTCATCAAATATGATGCCTTTGGATGAATCAATCGTCTCAAAACAACATAGATATGCCGATATCGAAGCATTCGATAGTTTTTTTGAACGGAACAAGTTGAGCTCTTTTTCAAGTTTAGAAACAAGTTTATCTAAATATATATATATAAGTAATGCGAAAAAAATTAAGTAAAATTCCAATTTCAAATAAAATTTCCTTACCTTTTTCCAACAAATCATTTTCCAATTTACGCATTTTTCCATTCTGAGCCTCGTCGATTTTAATGCCATCCAAATTATGTGTAAGAATTTCAGTGCGAATAATAGAAAGATCTTTTTCGAGTACAGCAATTTTATCATCTAAAATTAGTCAATATTTCTTGTATAAATATTCACGCAGCGACAATAATGATGGTTACCTTTTTCATTTAATTGAACTTTGAGCTCATTGATGAGTTTTTGATTTTGAGTGTTTATTTCAGCAAATTTCATATCAAGCGCCTGAAATTTATCATTTGCATTTCGAAGAGTAACAAATTCTTCCTCTAAAATTTGACAATATATATTGATATTAACCGACAATAAACAATTAATAGAAAATAACCCGCACTTACCTTTTTCGTCCAAAAGTGCCTTCAATGTCTGAATTTCATTGATAAGTGCTTCGTTTTGGCTGTTGACCGTTTGCTGAACATTTTGCGTAGAATAATCAGAAATAATTTCAGCATTTGAGCTGTCGGCAATTCCAGAATCAGATTCAGTAGCGACGGAAGCTTCCAGTTGGGAAATCAAATCAGTTTTGTTGTGGTTTGTGACATGACGATTAAAATTATAAACGGAAAAGTTGTTTTTTCCTGTTGTTCTTGCTAGTGTTTGAACATGACTGCAATATGGACACAATATTTTGCAGACTATCGACGTAGATGTGACGTCGACAATTATATTGTTTTCATTCAAACGTGTACAATTCTTTTTCGCTTGACGTAGAATTTTTGATTTGACCATTTTCTCCAATTCCAATACCGAAGGTACTGGCTTTAATCGCGAAGCCACTTCTAGAATCATTGCCTTGACTCCAGGCGTGAAATATTCAACAGTTTTCAGCGCTGGATAGCGCAAAAATACCTCTTTATTAGACCGTATCTTTGTGAAATCATTTTCCAATTTTTCAATGTTTTTGCTAGTAATTCCAGCGACAGATATTTTTGTCTTAAAACCCAAAATTGTCAAAATGGACTTCACTTCAAGTAAATCTTCTGGATTTTCATCAAGATTCATTTGTAAATTGTTCCAAAATTGTGGAAAATCCCTAAAAATGAAAAATAAATTGATGTTTATCTACCCAATGAGCCATTGTAATGCTATGATATCAGTATTTCTCATTACATATGAACAGAAAGTTTTGGCACAAAATTCGGGCGTTTTATTGCGCAACATAAAAAAAAACAAAAACGTCAACCAATGCACAAAGGAGACTTAACGGGACTCCTACTCTACTGATAAGCCAATCTCTCTTCGAACCATGTATCGTATTTCATGAATTTAGTATGAAGATGATTCTGTAAAAAGCAAAAAGTGCGGTCTTATTCCCAATCTGAGTGCTCAAATCTTTCAAACTGCCACCAAGTGCCAAGAATCAGGTTGGTCAAGCAAAAAATCATTTTTGGTGATTCTTACGGTTACGGTACATCCAAATTTGAACTAAAAAAATAGATATAAGGTTAGAGACGTCGACAAACCGAACTTTGATAAAGGGGTTTTTGTATTGTAGGATCCTCTTTGGAAGGTGTTTCAGAGCCATTATTCGCAAATTCAGTGCTGAAACGTAAGGTTAAACCTCCAATACTTGCTCTATTATCAACCAAATATTGTTAAAATCGATAGAATTGATTGAGAACTATCTTATTAAAGACAGAATCATGCTTTGCAAGCCGAAAAAACCATAATAATGGCTCACTTCCTAAAAAATGGCATTTCCATCAAAAAAGGACCATCTTTTTAACTTCACAAAAAGACACCAAATTAATTATTTCTCATCCGTTTTTGGGTGTATGTATGGGCTAAGGTATAATATTATTAGATATATAATTGGTTGGATGGATTGAGATAATGTTGAAAGAAATCGACAAATCAGTTGTCCAGAACATGATTTCGAGGGTTTGACGTATACAGAGAAAAATCGAAGACAATGGTCCGTTCACTGTACTGTAAATATGTTTTCGGGTTGCCTATGAATAAGGCTAACTACCACTGAGAGATATTTTCAAAATGCTTCTTTAGTGTTCAAATTGCGTACGCTTGAATTTTGTGCCATAACTTTCTGTTCATATGTTATGTTGAATTCAGAAATCTACAATATAATATGCGATATAATTCCATTCCCTGTGAAGCAAAAGAATAATAAAAACCTCTAAGCACATACGCAACAATGTGAGTAATTTGCATATTAGATAGAAATTTCTTATCGTCGCATCAATACATTTGTTGCGCAAGAAAACATAATTTGTTGTGTGTAAGAAAAGCAATTCGATTTCACATTTAATAAAAAATCTCTCGTTCGACGAACAGTTGAACACTATTATGGGAATATGCGGACGAAAAATGTTTCGATTAAAATTAACAATTGAATAATTCTTGATAGTTTTATGATTTTAATTAATTTTAATAGTGCTAATAAACACAACAAAATTATTCAAATCGCAAGAGTACCAAAAATAAAAAATTTCAACTGTAGATAATGCGTCGTCCGTCTCATGCGAATGTACGTAGTTATATGCGGATGAAATTTATTTCGATAAAAATTTAAAATTGAATAATCCCTGATAGTTTTAAGAGTCTAGTGAATTTTAATAGTGCCAAAAAACATAACAAAATTATTCAAATCGCTAGATTACTGAAAATAAAAAATTTCAATTGTAGATTTTTGATTTTGATTCTGATTTCTCATATATGAGAATATCTACGGTTAAAATTTTTTATTTTCGTTATTCTAGCGATTTAAATAATTTTGTTGTATTTATTTGGCACTATTAAAATTCACTAGAATCTTTAAACTAATAAATTTCATCCGCATAACTACGTACATTCGCATGAGACGGATGACGCATTCTCAGCAAGATATGTTTTATCGATTAAAATTTAAAATTGAATAATTCTTGATAGTTTTATGGTTTTAATTAATTTTAATTGTGCCAATAAACACAACAAAATTATTTAAATCGCTGGAGTACCGAAAATAAAAAAATTCAACCGTAGATATTTCTCATATATGAAAAATCAGAACCAAAATCAAAAATCTACAGTTGAAATTTTTTATTTTTGGTGCTCTAGCGATTTGAATAATTTTGTTGTGTTTATTAGCACTATTAAAATTAATTAAAATTATAAAACTATCAAGAATTATTCAATTGTTAATTTTAATCGAAACATTTTTCGTCCGCATATTCCCATAATAGTGTTCAACTGTTCATCGAACGAGAGATTTTTTATTAAATGTGAAATCGAATTGCTTTCCTTACATTTATGATTGGAGTAAATATAAAATTTAAAATCAATAAAATCACGAGTTCGTATCGCACGGTAAAATGTATTGATGCAACGGTAAGAAATTTCTATCTAATATGCAAATTACTCACATTGTTGCGTATGTGTTTGGAGGGTTTTTTTTATTCTTTTGCATCACACGGATGGATTTATATCGCATATTGTAGATTTCAGTTTGTGCAAATTGTTATTGTTTTTTTACCCGGTCAATTGATGAAAAGAAGTGTAAATGAATATTCATCATACATTCAAACCTACAATGCAATATGCGATATAATTCCATTCCATGTGACGCAAAAGAATAAAAAAAACCCTCTAAACACATATGCAAAAATGTGAGTAACAGGCGGGCTGAAAAGTTCGTATCGTTTCTAAGAAAGGGCGCTACCATAACAAAATCCATTATGTTTCTGGAAAGTACCATCCTTTCAAGGCATACATACGAAATTTGAGCCATATCCGTCCACTGAGTCAGAAATTATAGCACTTGAAAGAACATAACCTCAAAATACACCTAAATTCTCAATTTTATGGCTTTATTCGAAAGAGGAGTCATTATTTTTAAACTATTTTTCAACCCAGGACGCAGATATAAGTCCCCCCAAGCTAAATTCGAAATAACGAATCGATTCGTATCAAAACTCATCAAATGCTGACATCATCTGCATGACTTCCCGAGATGGCTTTTCACTGAAATTCTGAAAGCTTACATTTTCACAAAAAACACCGGATTATCTTTGTCCAAAAATGTCAAAATTGACATGTATTATTCTTTTGGCATTGTCGCATCTCATCCAAGATGATAAAACGCTATTTTGAACAACGCAGTACTAAATAGTGGCAAGGAATACGAGATAATGTCAAAAACTCAGATTTTGTGACTTATCGTCGTTACGTTGATTTTTGGTGACCAGTTGGAATTTAAATTTCCTCAAAATGTATTCCATGGGTTTTGTAAGACATTAATAGTTACCATTCAGTAAAAATATTTACTTGAATAATGCTTAAAACCCACTTTAGATCACTTCAAAGTTGCCACTCGATTCCATTTGTTGTCATTTTGAGAAAATGCGGCACTCTTTGTTTGAATGAATTTTTTTTACACAAATTTTGGAGTAATGTATTGAAATAAGTATTCTACAAGATGTTTGCGATCCATTCTTCAGTATTCACTAAAAAATAGCCATCCTTCGGGGCAATTTCTTAGATTTTTTCAAGCATCTCTTCGAAGACCCGTATTTTTAAGGCAAATTGAGGCGTTCGTCACCTCTGGCGTTTGTGACCACATACATGTCAATAGTGACTCTCTATATAGCCTCAGATGGTAGTGGAGGGACCAAAGAATACCTTCAAGTGTTCAGTTTTGGATTCGCTGATGGATTTATCAAACAAAAATTGACCTAATTAGCATGGTTGAAATTGATTTTTCGCACACAAAGAGAAATGCTGGAGATTGGTTCATTTCAAGTGCTATAATTTCTGACTCAGTGGACGGATATGGCTCAAATTTCGTAAGTATGCCTTGAAAGGATGGTACTTTCCAGAAACATAATGGATTTTGTTATGGTAGCGCCCTTTCTTAGAAACGATACGAACTTTTCAGCCCGCCTGTTAATTTGCATTATTAGATAGAAATCTCTTACCGTCGCATCAATACATTTGCCTCATTATCAACAGACTTACGGCACTTGCTAACTGTGCGATACGAACGGTGAAACACATACACATATGTGCCAGCTAAGCGGTTAACAAGTACCGTTATGTATGTGAGTGACACAACACATTGACGCGGCGGCAGAAGATTTCTATATGTCGTGCTGCACTACACAGTACACAAATACACATACATGTACAGTTCACAGCATAAACAATATACACGTGAACATATGTTTTTTTACGTTTCATTCACCAATGCATCATAGTAAACATTGTCAAATTGCAAAAACTATACTATGTATTATTGTATTTTGACAAGTAGGCATTACAAATTTATTCTTATTTATTTAATTAAAATTTTCCGAAATGTTCCATAAATCATTATTATTTATGCGCTCAACTCTTGTTTATATATTTTCACACTTGTATTAACACTTCTATATCTAATTGAAAGCAACAAATCGTTGTTTGAAAAAAAGTTAACCAAGAAAATCGAATAAGGAATTATAACTTACATATTGCATATTAGTTCTTCACTTTGAATTTGCATGGTTTTCTTACTATTAAATCAAAACAGTAAAAAAAGTTATTTGAGCTCTATTCACACAATGAAAAAAAAAAAAACGAACAAAATCACATTCATAAACAATTAAACATACGGACAATAGTATTCAATTATTTCAAGTGTTGAATTGTAAAACAATACTACTTGCTTGCGAATATGTGACACACTGCAGGACAAGCGAAAGAAGAGAGTAAAATAGGAGAAAAGAAATCGTAAAGTGTATTTGTATGTAGTTGTGTGCGGTTACAGACGCACAATGTGCGTCGCACATACTATACTAGCTACTTGAGAATGATACATTTAACGTGTCTAGCATTGAATGTGAATGATGAATGCGCATTGCGTCCATACGCCGTATGCATAAATTCTAACACATTATGTGTTAATGGATTCAGTACATTCAAAATCTCAATCAATAAAGGTAATTTTCTTCTGTGGGAAGTTGATGAAAAAACGAACAGAGGATGATTGAACTTAACAACTGTTTTATGATATTTATAAAAAAAATTGCTTAAATTTTTCATTATATGAATCGGAAATCGCAAAAAAATGGAATGTTAAATTTTTCTTCTATGGAATGTTTGCCTTTCAAGCATACATAAAGATTTTATTATTTTGTCATCAAATTGAAGCATTTTTCAATGCGTAGCCCTATATTTCCGATAAATACTGTTGACTGTATTAGCATGCCTCTGATTTTTTGTGTATTTCACCACCGAATCGGCCCCCATGCCAATGATAAAATAGATTGTTGTTAAACCGTGAAAACGACCGTTTTGTTTGCATTATTCTCTTTCAATACATTCGATGCCTTCAACATTGGCATCTGTGACTGTTTTTCAATTTTTTTACGGGTTCACTCATTTTAAATTCGAATTGATTTTGGTGTTTGAACCGGTTTGAACAAATCTCCTGAATGACCTCTCGGAAAGTTAAATATATTTTTGCCATTTATCTCATGTGCATCTTAAACGGATTAATAAACAACACTCATTCTAATAAAAATAATAACTGCACCGAACAGCGTTCCTTCTCTGACTGATAACTACAAACATTCTGAAATTCTTAAACAAGTTGTTTCTTTTATTTACCATACACTTCCAAGTTCCATGCTTTGATTATTTTTGTTCCGTAACAATTGCTTTGAAACAATCCAATTCAAAAAAGAAGAAGAAATACACCAAAGCACACAGAAAAAGAATGAAGTTTTTGTTGGTGATTGAACTTGATCAATAGCGCAATATCAAATCACCTTGAAAAACTTGAAATTTTGGTCTTTTAAACCTTTTTCAAATATGCAATAACCTTAAATGTTATTCAATATCATCGATGTGCTTTTATGATTCAAAAAATAAAAATAAATTTTAATCTTAATATTGTGTTTTGGTGGGAGTTTTTATGAGACTTGAGGAGTGTATTTAAAGTTTGCATTTTTGAAAGAAATGTGTTGTCTACCACACTCCAGACAAGCGGACAGCCACGCTTTGTTGGTCTTTATTTCTCGTATACGAGCTTGAAGTAAATTTGCAGAAAACTTTCGGTTTTCATCATATTATACGTCTTTGTGTTGTCTGCTTGATAAATTGCCGTAAATATAAGGTGGATGATAGCTCGGTATTGAGAGAAAGCTGGTTTCGGTGATATGTTCGGGTTTTTTGAAATGCCTGTATAAGAAAATTTTTGCAGTACATATAAAAATAGTAATCATTCATTTTACTGTCAAAAATATTTTCATTCGATTTAAAAACTACAAAATAATAGTAGTTAAAATGACTTCAAACGAATCAAACGTTGAATATGTGGAAGTGGATATCCACAAAACCCTGTGTGAATTGCAAGAACGCTTATCCAAATTAGAAATAACCAACAACTCGGCGGAAAGTGATTCTAGTGAAGATGAGGCGGACATTTTCCCGTTAACGTCGATCATACAGTTGCGCAATTTTGAGTTTAGACTTTCCAAAGAAAAGTCATTCCGTAAAAAAATGGTACGTTTTTTAATTTCACACTACGACTCTGAAAAAAGTGTTTTTATGAGTGAATTATTTCTTCATTTGTGTAAATTTGCGTGCATTACGTATATATGAAAAGAGAGTATGACGTACGCATTACATGAAAAAAGATTTGGTATTTTCATATTCATATTTTATTCTTTCTGTGTCAAAATTGCATTCCAATTCGATACATTTATTTTATACTCATTTTTTTCTTCACATATTGACTATAATTCATATATTTACTACAGCACTCTATCTAATAAAACAAACGTATTTTTTTAGGAAAAATCAATTTCGAAGCTTCTTGGCTCCGAATCCGACAATAAAAAGGCTGGGAATTTTATTATGAATTACTGTTTCCACATACAAGTACTGCAAAAAATTTCTTATACAGGCATTTCAAAAAACCCGAACATATCACCGAAACCAGCTTTCTCTCAATACCGAGCTATCATCCACCTTATATTTACGGCAATTTATCAAGCAGACAACACAAAGACGTACAATATGATGAAAACCGAAGGCTTTCTGCAGATGTACTTCAAGCACGTTTGCGAAAAATACAACAAAAGACCGTACCTTTTTGATCATGATGACATCCACGAAGGACCAACAAGGAAGTATTTAAAGCGGATTTAAGAGATTTTTAAAGTGCTGTCCAAGTTAAATTGAAGAAATGACAAATAAAAGTGTATTGCAAAAACTCTATTAAATCTAGCGAATATTACTTTTAATTTCAAAACAAACATTAAATTCTTGTCAAATTCTCTTTCATTTTTCTCCTTTTGCGGTGCATGTTTTTATGAACGCAAACGCAATAACAATAAACACATAATTTGTAATTTTCTGAACCATAAAAGCAAATCGATGATACTGAATAGCACATGAGGTTATTGCATATTTGAAAAAATCTTATGAAATAAACTGTTTCAATTCTCTCGATTGATGTAAGTGTACAAGTAAAACCGAATTTGATTTTATTTTCATGTGAAGTGGAAAAAATGATTCAACTAAACACACGATTCTCTCTACTTTTCACTCACTTACATCAGTTTAAGTTTCTCTTTTGTCGTTTTCATATGTGTAAATAAATCAATCGCAAAACAATAAATTCAATTTTTATGCATAAAATTGGAGAGCAATGAAAAACATTTTTTTCGATAGAAAGAATCATCATCAATAACCACCAAGGCACGCTGTTTAAAATGTAAACAATAGTAAGTTGAGTGAGTACACATACACAGAAGAGAGGAGAGAATAATTAGCGAATATTATATGTATTTGTGTACTCGTGTGTTTTTGCACACTTACATACGCTCCGGCTCAATGAACATGACTAAATGAATGTATTGTTTAATAGTGATGAATGTCTCAACATGCGGCGTACCTGTACTGTACGGTGTACGCACATCGCACATACAGCATACACATTGAATATTCTGTTTTGCAAAAAAAATGCCTCTTCTTTCTCTCTCTCTCTGATCATACAAAAAAATCGCATCAAATAAAATGTTTCAATTATCTCTATTGAAGCGAATGCAAAAGTCAGACCGAATGCAATTTGATTGAATCTTATAGATTTATAAACAAGCACAAGCCCATCTTATCTCATTCTCTATTTATTTTTATTTTTTTTGTAAATAAATGACATGCAATAGACATTCCGGAATATGTTTTCAATTTCTATGGGCGTAAAACAATTCACGTAAACGGAGTAAACAAACGTATGTTAAGTGAAAAAAATGCGTTACATCGCACGGTTACATGATGCCTACTTGATAAAAAACACAACTTCTTCATTTGAACATATTGATAATGCATCCTTTACTATAATGAATGAACGTAAAAAATTTAAACAAACAATTTTGTTTTCGTTCAATCATCGTAGTAGCGCTTGTTAAACAAATGAAGAAGTTGTGTATTTTTCTTTTGCTTTTCAGTTTGAGGAAAAAACTAAATATAATTTGATCTCGATTTGAACAAAACACGCAATTTTATTACAAAATTAATCAAA